ACCCTCGCGTTACCTGAACCTGAAATAAGCATTCCCCAAACGTGGGGTGAGATCTCTAAACCAGAAATCTCAGTAAGACAAGGGGTCCTCAAGGATCTTCCACCCCAAGCTCACTTACATGTGCAATATAAGTTCTAAAAACAGTAATTCAATATAAGTTCTCCAAACTATGCAGTGCAACAGATATTCATACCATGTGTGTTTAAACTATTCTACTGGCCAGAAAAATGCAAGAATACATCTATTACCTACATGTAGTACAAGGAACACCGTTTGCACCTCACCCACAACCTCACCATATTGTATGTACCACATACTCAGGCTTACCGTATATGTGGAACATCATAAAGGCACTAGCATATAACAGCTCAATAGCATTTCCAAAACATCAAAAGCATGTAACATAGCATGCATATAACCATACCCCCATGGGACATGGTGGAACCACAACATGGCTAAACCGAGGACACGAAAGCTTACCTTGCAAGCTAGCTATCCAAGCCAAGAGTCCAACACAATCTCAAAGCCCAAACACAGAAGTATCACAATCTGTTATGGACCAATAATATATCAACAATCATACTCTACAAGTATACAACATAAAGACAACGCCTTTCTTTACGCTTTACGTCTTAAAGCTTCACACAAAGCCACAAGCCCTTAATCACAATGATTCTGACTTAGTTCAATTAAAACAGAAGTTCAACTTCAACAATCTAGGGTTCACAAACCCCTAATAGCCCACTGCATGAATAGTGCAGCTACTGTTCTTCGCAAACCCAGAATATCCGGATATTTGTCGGGGACATATCCGGATATCCATATTCAGATATCAAGGGACCCCATATCCGAATATTTTGTGACAGACAGCAGCTTCTGCATTCGCGAAGATATTCATCCAAGGTTCCCTTTTTAACACTTATACACGTTAAAGCATGCATTTTTAGGCACATTTAGGTTCATACTCAGATTACATACTTGTTTAACTTATAAAACATGCCAAGACATCAACTTTAACCCAATAAACTCAAGATCAAGGTGGTAACACTTACCCAAGGTTCAACCAGCCAACAAAAGGTGCTCTTGGAGCTCACAAGACAACTCTAAAGTACTGACTTTGTAGAGCACGAAAATGGACCAACAAAGATGAGTTCTTTCTTCACAAAGGTGAAACTTTGAAGCTCAAAATGTCATCACCAAGGTTCCCACAACCCAACTCTCAAACTCAGCTCTCAAACCCAACAAAACAGGGATACCAAACTCAAAAATGATATCACTCACACCTCACAAGGCCAATCCACACAAGGCAATGGTGTTTTGGTAGAGAAATCAAGAGTAAAAATGGCTCCTTTGGCTCAAGAGAGTGAGGGAAGGTGAAGGTGGCAAGGCTAACTTCAAAGACTCAGAATTTTCACATAGGAGGCAGCCAATATGACCTAGGATCATGTGCCACTAAGCTTATATAGTCACTTAACCAATAAACACATAATATTAACTTTAATTGCTACGCTTAGCATTTTAATCCCAAACTCAGGATTCTTAACCTACTCGATTTTACAAGAATTATCATATTTTTCTTATATTTTTCACAGCACCTTTCCGGTATGCGCTTTTCATAGCCAGTATCAGTTTCTGGCACCAGTTCTCATTATTTTAACTTGAAACTCGTTTTACAAGTCCTATATATTATTCTAGGAATTATCATGCACTTATTATATTTTTCCGGGATACTTTATTGGTACGCATTTATACCGACTAGCAGAATCGGTATCTGCACTTTTCGTCAAAAAAACGACTTTCAGCATTATTAACCACTTTCTATAATTATTTAAGCCTCATAATAATTATTAGGGTCAATTATGGAATTATTTCTTAATTTCACATATTTAATTAATTAACTTCCTTAATTAACGGTGCGGGTTCTTACAACTGCAGTCTGCAATGCTGTAAAGCAGTGCAGTTCTCGTTGTTGATGTATGTTGACAATTTTGAACAGTAAACTTGCGATAAAGATATTTGGAGTTGTAGAAGTCCAAATTAAGCTTCTCACGATACCTCGTTAGAAAGCTTATAATGTCTAGTTTAACATTCTAGAATATAGGAATTTAATTATCAGCATGTCAAGTGTAGTTTTCACAAAACCGAACCTATATAAGGTTGGTACGTCACTTAAAAATGTATCATTGCTTCGTTGGTTTATGGGAACCACTTAGCATTATTTGTATGTGCTCTGTGTGATATTTAAGTAGTAAAATTTATATTCCGCAAATGTTTTGGGTTATGATCATTTTAAGGGAATTGTTTTGAATACGGTTATTTTAAAATGAAAACGTTATGTGTTAAAGAAAGAAGTTTACAATATTTTAATTCAATTACCGTGATTATAACTAAGCTTAATATTATAAGTATGGTTAATACACCGGTCCAGAATAGAGTGTTACACATCCGGTGATATTTTTACATGGGATTTTGTTTCATAAATTGGAATCCTAAAGGTAAATAGGAATTTCAATCTCAGTTTTTCATTATTTTAAAATTTATACCTCTACCAACCATCCCCTCACTGTCTACAATTGTAATTATTTAAGGTTTTCAATAAAATATGTTAACAAATTTTTTTAATACATCGTAATATATGATTTTTCTAGGTAATACAAAACTTCATGTAATGATATTAGATTTAAATATTTTTTACCCAACTCGTACTTGATCAAATATCATTTATTTAATTCTATTCCTACATATGATCTTTTATCATTTGTTCAGTTTTAGTCCTACATGTTGTATAATTAACGTTACTTCTGTGTGCGTGTGACCAGTAGAACGTGTTCACTTGCTCTCTACAGTAAGAATAAGACAAAACTTTAGCGAAAAATTGGGTTATACCAACCAGACAACAATAAAACAAGGGAAATATGACTCTTTTGTGATAGGAAAAAAAATCTTTTTTCCTACACACTCAATCAAAAATGAAACTCACCAAGAAACACAAGAAAAAAAAATAAAACAAATGACAGCACATCACATATGAATCTGTAGGAAAAAGTTTTCATCTTCTACAGAAGAAGATAATACAATCCCATAAAACAAGTAATTACTATCGTTTTATGCCATTATCTATGGTGTATTACTATTCAATCTAACATTATCAACATCTTTAATTATATAATAAATATCAATATTGGTGAGTGGTGACACTGAAATTAGCCACGTTTCAAATGAGTTGTTCCCCCCACCAAAAAAAAAAAAACCTTTTTTTGCCCTTTATGATCTTGGTAATTGTTTCACACGTATATGGATGTGTTGTCACTTTCTCTTTTGTTTACTTTTCATCCCTTTTCCCTCTATACGGTATCACATAAAACCTTTTTTCGCCCGATCTTGGTAATTGTTTCACACGTATATGGATGTGTTGTCACTTTCTCTTTTGTTTACTTTTCATCCCTTTTCCCTCTATACGACACCACATCTACTTTTAAGTTTCTAATATGTGTGCTAAAAGTGCTTTATTTGAAGTTATTAAATGAAGTTGACCCACTTTTTGTCTCCCTATAATTTCATGACACTCATATAAGGTGTTAAGTTTTACTTTTCCCATTTATTATTAAAGAATGTTATTTTTATAAAAAAATTATTTTAAAACTCTTATAAATTATATTATATATTTCGAAGAGTACATACTTATTTATTTTTACTTTTCGGAATACATAATATAATTTGTAAACAAAAAATTTATAAATATAACACTACTCTATTATTATAAATTTTAGGACACTTATGTTGAGAATAATGACCAAAGTGCCACCAATTAAAAAAAAATTGTTGAAATGTCATGCAAATAGTAAAATTTCTCAAAGTACCACGGAAGGACTTCATTTTATCTTTCACAAGGTTAGTGCTTTATATTTTGTTATTTATGCATTATTAGTGGGTGTTAATTTCTTGATATTATGTATTTTAAGAGTTGAAATCTTAGGTTAGAAGATATGTTATATTTTTTGAAACCAAGGATATCGATAGAACCAATGTGTTAATATTGTTATATTCCTTTGTATAGACATTAATTAATATGTAGGATAGTTGATGTGTTATTTTATATTTTAAAATTAAATTTATAAATTCCATTTTAGTATGTTTTATATTTTTTATTTAATAATATGTTTTTTAGGACTTGAAACCTTAGGTTAGAGGATTTTTTTTTTAAACTCTAGGATAAAGCACATGTGTTAATGTTATTATATTAATTAAAACTCTAGGATAGTTGGTGAATTATTATAAATTTTAAATTATGTTATGTATTTTTTATTTTAATAATTTTGATTTTAGGTCCAAAACTTTAAGTTAGAGGACATTTTTTTTTTTGTTACCCTAGCATAGAGCCCAAGTGTTAATATTGTTATATTAATTTGTATAGACATTATATCTAGGATAGTTGGTGAATTATTTTATATTTTAAGATTTAAAATATGAATTATGTTTGACATTTTTTATTTTAATATTGTTTACTTTAGGTCTCAAAACATACGGTTATAGGATATTTTAAGTGTTACTGTTTAGGTTAATAATTATAAATAAAAATATTGATATAATTTAATTATTCTTCTTAATAGATCCATGGAGCATGATGAACCCTCACGTCCTGGGTCCCCGCGGAGTGTGATTGACCCAGGTCCCTGCGATTGTTCTCTCCTGACATTACAGGAGAAACATATATCCACATATGTGTGGAATACCTTTGAGGATCGCAATGTCCAGGATCGTGTGTATGGATTACCTCTCACCATCTCTTCACGAGCCTCTTGGCCATATGTCAAAAAGTATTGCACTAGTCTAGCATATGTCATCCGCACCAATGACGTGATAGACATGTTTCTGGCACCTTTAAAAACCTTGTTAGCATACTCTGACATATTTGTGGTCATGTGGCCAGACCTTCTTCCCTCAGCATCATAAGCGATACTCCACTTCTGTTTAGGGATGCGATTAATTCAGACAGCTATCTACGGGCTTGCTTCTTTAAATGTTTCTAATCCAGCATCAAAGTCTAAGTGCGAGGTTGTATAACCTACATATACAAGCACAAACAGAATATAAGTACCTAATTTCACACAAGATGATGTTATAAAATATGCACATATGCATATACATACCTAACTTCTTCACTTGCTTTTTCAACATCATATTCTTGAACTTGTGATTGAAATTAGTCCCGAGATGGAGAAGGCAAAAGACATGGTATGCTTGGGTGGATGCCATCCTAGTCCAATTTGGTGACTGCAGACAAGATTCCCGAATGTCGATCAGATTAAGACAGATTCCATGTTTTTGAGTCACATGTATCCAAATCAATGTCAAAAACCATGACCAGTTGTCAAGATTCTCCTCGAAAACAATTATGAATGCAATTGGCAGGACATAATTGTTGTCTTCAACTATTGTAGCAATCAAAAGCATTCCTCGATATTTCCTATATAAGTGGGTACCATCAATATGGGTTACCGGCTTGCAATAATCAAAAGCATCATAATAGTGTTTAAATGTCCAAAACACCCTATGGAACACCTTGTGAGATCGATCAAGGAGTCCAACATCAAAATGATCATTCAGATCCAGCTTATAAATAGACCCTGCAGAAAATAGCAATATGTAATCCAACCATCTTGGCAGGAATGCGTAAAACTCATCCCAATCCCTAGAAAATTTTGCAATTACCTTTTGCTTTGCCTTCTATGCCTTCCTGTAAGATATATGAAATCCAAGATTTGTTTCTATCCTTTCCTGGATTAGAGAAATTTTAACACATGGCTCCTCCCTTATCATTTATGAATTTGGTCAAACAATAATGTATTAGTAATCATTCCGGAAATATAAATAAAAAAGACTATTAGACATACTTATGATCAATGAACAAATGAGATTTGAGTCCAGCTGCTTGTCATCTTGAAAAAGACTTTGACTATCACATATGTGTTTGTTATTCCATTTGCCAATAACTCATTCAGGGCCGCCTTTTTTTACGTATGCTCTAATCCTTCATGGACAATCGTCATTGTGATTTTCACAAACAATGATCAAACTTTTGATATCACTCTTTACTACAACGGTTGTGCGATGATTCACCATACAAAATTATTTTATTGTCATATGTACATCCTTCTTTCTCTCAAACATCTTGTCCTTATATAGCTCTTGACCTATCTACCAGTTAGGTATTTACTCTCCATCCATTTCATCTAACTTCTGATCTGGGTGTGCCCAATTAATATTCATGTAATGGCTTATCTGAGACAAAAAGGTACATTATCATCTGTTGTTTAATCACATATATGTTCATTATTCTCAAATGTGTCAAGAATAATTATGTTAAAAAACAATGTTAACCATTACGGTTACTAACCAGTAACTGGTGAGTCATGCATTCTGACAATGCCCAGTGAAGGAATCGAATGACACATTGCTCTAGACGAACAACAATCGAAATCACCGTCGACATCAGTATCTGATGAGTCACTGTCTGGAACAAGATGTTCGTCCACCTCTTCCTCGAAACTGTCCGTACGCTAAGATGGATGGTACATGTCATGGGCTAAAAGCATTTCAGAAGACATTGGTGGGGGTGGGGTTGACACAAACCTATCTTTCAGTTTGACCAGCGGCTCCCTGTTAATATTGATGGAGTGAATGTATGGGAGGGAATGTTAAGTGGTTGACTGTCCACTAGAGTTTACTTCCGTATATAGTTCAATAAATGTGGAGCTTCCATGATCTCGAAATATGTCTACTATTAACATTACATCTTCATCATCAATAATCTTCGCAGCAACCCACTGCTCTGGGACCGATGCGTATCTTGTAGTCAATCGAGAGAGAGATTCACCTTGTTGTAATCTCAACTTCTTATATATTATCTTCTTCAGTTCATTATACTTACATCGGGGTCTCATGCGAAATATTTTCTTATGTCCTTCAAAAACTTGACCATTCGGTCCAGAATATCTTCTCCCATACAATGGCGATTAAATCATTGCTACTGTCACTCATTATGTAAAAATAAAAATAAAAATAAAACAGAAGGAAGAAATAATCGAAGCACCAAAGCAAAAACACAGGTAAGAATGAAAATGAAGAAATCAAACAAATGTGTCACTAGTAGGGAGGGAAATAAGGTTAGGTATAAATAACAATAAATTCACTAGACCTGATAATGCATTTGCCACATGGAAGACAACCAAATTTGTTGTGCCCCACAATGAACTTCTTCTGCCATGTGTTACTGTTGGTCAGAGCAGGGTATCTAATTCTCTATGCCTATAAGAGAATTACTCATTGGCTGTCACGTGTACTACTTTTGCTCAGAGCAGACTGACATGTCACACCTAGTTCGCTATGCCAGCAAGCAAATTACTCAGTGGCTACCACATGTCCTACTTTTGCTCAGAGCAGACTGACATTTTGATCACCTAGTTCGCTACTATCAGTAGCGAATTAGGTGGCCACTAGAAACGTGCTACATTTGTAAACAGAGTTTGCTACTTGCTGTAGCGAATTTGTACGTGTGGCACTTTGGAAGATTTTATTATTTACGTGGTATTTAGGAAATTTATTTTTATAAAATTGTGGCACTTTTTTCACTGTTCCCCATGTTGTTATCTACTTTTTACTCCATCCTATTTTTATTGCTTCTTTATTTTAGAGAATGGTTCAATGTTATAAAAATTGATAGATCCAATCAGTAGACGAGATTTAAACAACGTGAATGGCACCTTACAATACTTACTATTAGAATAATTTATGGGGGGAAAGTATCTAATGTTACTTTAGACAATTTTATCTAATGTTCACCAAAACGATGTCATATTGGGATTGAAAAATTAAAAAATTAGAATGATAAAGACAATTATAACTCTAAAATAAATCAAAATTACAAATACACCATGATTTTCGCTCTTAAACGACGTCGTTTCGGTGAATATTAGATAAAGTTATCTAAAATAACTTTAAAAAAAGAACCCATAAATTTTTTTTTTTTGGTAATCGAACCCATAATTTATTTGTTATATGCTATGATGCACGGGCATTGACACAGGACGTAGGACACGACACGACACGACACGCCGACACGTTAATTCTAAAAAATGTCATATTTTGACACGTTGGGACACGTTTTGATATTAAATATTATTTTTAATATATATAATATAATTTATATTTAATACATATAACAGTCCATAATAAGTCACATAACTAATCAAATATTCAAATTTCATATAAATAAAAAAAAAATTTCGTATCTTGTTAATTTTTAATGTGAAATTTCATAACAGGAAAAAACTGATTTATAAATTATTTTTTATGTTTTGTTAGTAAAATAAAATTAAGAGTAAAAAAAATAAAAACGTGTCGGATACGTGTCAGAACGTGTCCGATGCGTGTCGGAACGTTGACCGCGTGTCGAAAAGAGTTGATTGTGTGTCGAAAAAACGTGTCGGAACGCGTAAGAGTGTTGACCGCGTGTCCCAAAATGTTGACCACGTGTCGGAACGTGCCCGTGTCGGACACGTGTCTGACATGCATTTTTTCTAAAAAGTTGCGTGTCGGGTTATCTGAGGTTATATGGGTTTAAAATTTCTCACATATTATAGGAGATAAGATTATATCCCATACACATAAATATATATATGTGTGTATGTGTGAAATCGATTCTCATGTTGCAGGAAACTTTTGTTCTCCTGTATTCATATGGTGGATCCCAACATTCTTTAAAAAAAAGAAAAAACTTAAAAATAAATTGAAATGGTTGTATGAGATTTTATAAATTTATAATACTATTTTTTTTGGTAAAAATAATACTGAAATGGTTGTATGAGATTTTATAAATTTATACGCATTTAATTAAAGATCTTATTTTTATTTAATTACTGATTTTCTGTTAACTTATGTTTTAAAGCATTAAATTGTTATTCTTATCATAAAGAATTATTTAAGAGATTACTCTTTTTACAAAATTCTTGAAATTTAATTTTTTTAATTTAAAGTGATTTATTTTTTTGGGATGCTAGTCATGCTATAAATCACATACTAATCAATTGTAGTACTATTTACAAGGAAACCTTAATCCCAGTTGTATACAATTATTAAGCGGTCCAGGAAAAGCTCGTGGCGGAGGTTCACTATTAATGGCTGGTTTAACTTAGTCTATTAGCAATCAATGTGATACTCATCACACTTGAATATTCCAACAACAAAAGATATAGATGTACATCATTTTTTTCTTAAGAAAAAAAAATTTGCACTTTTTTTTTTATTCGACAAAATCAGTTGAGTTTGGCAGAACCCCGCAAGGACGATAAAATTCCTTTTATCAAAAAACAATTGTGTACCCATTATTAAAATTTGTGTTATTAAGTTAAAATAAGTTCATATTAGTTTACCCAAATGCTGGGCGATATACTATTTCATATATATTATTTATTATTGGAAAGAATATCTTTAAGATATCTTTATTATTTGTAAAGATCTATTTCCTTATTTTATTAGAATTTAGATTAGGTCTGGGCTAAACTCATTAGTGTTTCTTTATATATTGTACTCTCCTGAATCAATTCAATATACAGATTTATTCCAATGTTCCTCTCATCTCTTGTTATTTTACATGGTATCAGAGCCTTGATGTCACGGGTTCGATTCTCACCGCCTCCACTTTGCCTTGTGGAATTTCTTAGCACAGGTAGGTGAGCCTGATGCATCATCCATCCTTCAAGCCCAACGAGCTGTCATGTATGGGCGTGTTAGAGAATAGTATAAACCATTAAAATTAAAGCCTTCATCCATCAGCTTAAGCTTTTGGGTTGAATTGGTTCTGTTCATGGTATCTAGAGCCTAACGAGAGGAATCCTTATCCGCATTTCCTTACTCTTTTTCATAATTTTAATATGGTAGTAGAGAGATATCACCCTCCGCGAGGGATTGGCTTTCCCGTCTCTTTACCAGCTCTTCAAACTGATGGTCATTTCAGTTGATTTGCTGTCGATTTCTTCGACTTATATTTCATGAAGCTTTGTTTTAGTTTTTTTCTTCCCAAGATGAAGTATCCCTCCATCTTGATGGGGAGTATTCGATATATAGATAATATTTTATTTTAGTTTATTATGTTTGTTATTATTCTTTAGGTTTAGTGTAGAGTTGTTACAACCCGCTCATTTATTTTGATGTTATGTTTCTTCTTCTTTCTTGTTCAAGCTCATTGCTTATGATCTATACGCTCCAGCTCGAGGGGGAGTGTTGGAAAGAATATTTGTAAGATATCTTTATTATTTATAAAAATCTATTTCCTATGTTATCAAAAAAAAAAAAAAAAAAAATCTATTTCCTTATTTCATCAGGATTTAGATTAGGCCTGGGTTAAGCTCATTAGTGTTTCTTTATATATTGTACTCTCCTAAATCAATTCAATATGTAGATTTATTTCAATGTTCATCTCGTGTATTGATACTTGGTACAGAAAACTAGTGATCAATATGTATCGTGATGATTACTATATCTAATTGGTAATCGATTTTATATTTTGTTTATGGAAGTGTGAATTGTATCAAGTAATTTTATTAAACAACTTTGAGGGGTTTTAATAAGCGTAAAAATAATCAATAAGCAACCAATGGCTTGGGCTTGGGTTTGTTATTTGTAGGTATTTATATAAACTTTTTGGGTTTGGGGGTTTACCAACTATGTAGTACCTGTAACACCCCGTGTATACCCGATTTGTTAACATGTCATCGTATTAAGCCACGCTTAATTAAAAATGCGGAAAATATTTTTCTTTTCAATTATGACGTCATTAAACTTAGCCAAGTTGATTACTTAATCGATTTCATAAAAACATCGCCTGTATGTAAATTACAAAAGACAGCTAACTGAAATACCTCATAAATAGATAAGTGAGTATCTAAGCCACAGATTCACAACACGTAGTCCGGACAATAGCCTGATACATTATTACAACTCATAACTAAAAACATAAGGTCAAGTCAATGTGGCATGGACAAACCCCATGCTCACCAAATATACGACATAAACAACAGAGTCTCAACAAAACATCAAATGAAGCTATAAGCATGATATCAACAGATATAAACCAGCATCCAAGCATAGTCAGCATAAGCAGATAAACATCAATCAACTAAGCTCTGGCCTCCTGTCGCTAGAGGTCTCAAACCCTGGGTTACCTGAACCTGAAATAAGTGCCCTAAACGTGGAGTGAGATCTCTGAACAGAAATCTCAGTAAGACAAGGGGTCCTCAAGGACCTTCTACCCCAAGCTCACTTACATGTGCAATATAAGTTCCAAAAACAGTTCAACAATATAAGTTCCAAAATAGTGCAATATAGTAGATAATCATGTCATATGTGTTATAACTAATCTACTGGCCAGAGAATGCAGGAATACGTCTATTACCCACACTAATGCAAGACGCCACTTGCACCCACCCACAGTGT